AATGTTTTCCGGATAAGACGAAACAACGAATATGTCTGTTTCTAAATAATCCTCATAATCTATCTATCTACCAGTACTTCTAAAGTATAATTATCTGCAATACGTTGCAGCACCTTACACAACTAAGACACACGCATACATACAGATATATATATATATATATATATATATATATATATATATATAAAAAAAAAGAAAGAACAGTAAGATATATAATCCAGTGTTCTTATAGATATTTTTATTTTTACAAAATAGTGCTCTGTGTAAATTTACAGAGCATTAATATTATAAATTAATTGATTTAAAATATGTTTTTTTTCGCTACACAGTTCTAACCATATTTCAAAAATTTGAATCATGGTTAGAACTGTGTAGCGAAAAAAACATATTCTAAATCAATTAATTTATAATATATATATATATATATATATATATATATATATATATATATATACAATATGGACACAGAAATCAATACTGCATGCCTCAAGTGATTTCAGACTATGATCTGAAGACGTTACATTATCTATCTATCTATCTATCTATCTATCTATCTATCTATCTATCTATCTATCTATTTCAGTTTGCAAATCTATATAAATAAAATCAAGTAAATTACTCTTTTCGCCATGTCTTTTGCTTTCATCGAGGAATAGTAAAACTCATAATTAAACCGGAAAAGCAAACCCAACGAGGCTTAATTTTTAAGCCAATCATATTCGTCAACGTCATATTTATTCTATTTAACCTTACGGTGACACAACGTGTTGCATCTGAAAAGATTGTGTTCTTAATAGTTTCATGCAGTTAACTTTCGTGTCCGTACATGTCAGTCCCGAATAACGGATATTAGCATCTCACCACTCCCAACCTGCGAATAAAATAAGGTTTTTCAATCGACTGAAATCACGATTCCTTGTAATTAACTCGGTGCACGCTGTATTACCCACAACAAAACCTATACCATCGCCTAATCTTGCCGATGTTTAGGTAAGAGAGATATGCAAATTAATTGCATTTTATGCATCTTAACTAGGAAAATTGCAAAACCGTCAGACATTTGAGATCTGAGGCGTTTCATCATCGTTGCATCTGTGGCCATTATGATGAATTATGATACCAATGAGACTTGAATGTTGTCAGTAATAATCAAAGAGAGGTCAAAGAGAGGTCAAATGAGAGAAGGAGGGAGACAACAGTTTTAACCACATGTATAAACGAAAAATGTTTCCATGGCCGATATCGTCATAGTTTCAACAGCCTCTCCCTTTGATTTCAAGCGGTATTAATTCTCAATAACTCTCAACTTTGGCGCGAACATTAAGAAGCCACAAAGACAATACCTCAAGCTTGATAGCCTCAAGCTGACTTTTTCATGATTTTTCCTATGACCACCTCTATATTGGTTGTTCAACTCAATTAATGTTGTGTACCCAGAAACCATGTCAGCTTACTCTGGTAGAAGAAAGTGGGTGCGTTTATTAGGGTTTCCGGCCACTCCGTTTATTAATGTCAAACGTTTCTCCAGAACTCAAGTTTTTACTTGTACTTGTTATACACACTTTTATGATATGACGCACTGTCTAATGTTCCATTATTCTTTTTTTAAGTCTTTCTAGAAATCATCATCATCATTATCAGTCCATCGACTGCTTCAATTGCCGGTGGTGGTGGTGGGGACCTAAGGACAAAAGAAACAGACAATCTCCCCCTGTAACACCCAGGAATTCCGTCATTGTCATGCGCGTCCATTCTTTTATGTTGTCCGACCAGCTCTTGCGTTGCCATCCCAACTTGTGTCCGCCATCAACAGTGCCTTGCATGATGGTCTTGCAGACGCTGTTATTCAGTGTGACGTTGCCAGACTAAGTCATCGTCCGACGCTTAATAGTGACGAAGAGAGATTCCTCTCGGACCACAAGACATTTGTGATAATTCCAGAATGTCCACGTTTCCTTTCTGATAATCTTTGTTTCAAAAATAAAATTGATATTGTTAATACATGAGTACATCATTATAATCTGAAGCATTAGTAAATAAAAAAAAAATGTCAAGGTAGATCTCTACAACACATAATGTGCAAGGGATTGTTTTCTGGACTTGTTACATATAATAAAAACTCTTTTTTTTTTTTTTTTAAATCATTTCACCCCAAGCAAGGTAATAAAGAGTTACTGAATTTGAAAGGATATGAGAAAAAGAAAACATTATTAATAATGTTTTCTTTTTCTCATATCCTTTCAAAGCGGACAATTAAAGAACAGAAATTAAGACAGAAGATAACGGTTGATATTGCATTTAAATTTTTATAAATGAAAGTTGACGGGAAACCAAGAAACCGAAAGAGATTTCCACACGCAAGAAGTGTGAGAAAAGAAAGAAAAAATTCATTTTTAAATTCACTAAATATAATTTTTCTGATTTTTTCAATCTTTAAACTAGTAGAACTCATCACCACCATGAGCCCGTCATCTCTATACAGTCCGATGTCCTTAATATCAATTTCGCGGTGTGCCGTTAAGTTGTACAGTATCAGAAGACCAACAAGGTCAGAAGACTCTGCAGAGTCTAATGATCCCATAGTGATGTCAAACAGGTCGTTATTGTTTTTTATCCATTGGTCCCCATTATGAATGAGAACCGATTTCTTTGCGCTGAGTTGCTTCTGACCTTGTTGGTCTTCTGATACTGTACAACTTAACGGCACACCGCAAAATTGATATTAAGGACATCGGACTGTATAGAGATGACGGGCTCATGGTGGTGATGAGTTCTACTAGTTTTAAGATTGAAAAAATCAGAAAAATTATATTTAGTGAATTTAAAAAACTAAACTGAAAGATAATTGTCTCTTCTAATTTAAAAAGGGTAAACTTCCTCGACGTAACTCTAGACTTACCTGGCAACACATACCAACCTTATAGTAAACCTAATGCTAACCCTTTATATATCCACCCGAAGTCAAACCACCCTCCATCCATAATTAAACATATACCCTCATCAATAGAAAATAGAATTAGCATTAACTCCGCTAACAAGGAAATATTCCAACAACACAATGGCTTCTATAACACTGCCTAAAAAAAATAGTGGTTATAAAAAATGCTAACATTAACTATAGAGACAATTGCACTGGCCATAGGAAAAAAAAAACAGGAAAAGAAAAATCATTTGGTACACCCATCCGTTCAACCAAAGGGTTAATATTAAACTAGGACAAAAATTCTTAAACCTAATTGATAAATACTTCCCCACCAATAGTAAGCTTAGTAATATATTCAATAAGAACACCCTAAAATTGAGTTACAGCTGCTCTGAAAATCTTGAACGTATAATAAAAAAAACACAATAATAAGATCTTGAACAAACCCCCATGCCTAAACAGTATTAATAAAAACCCTGCACTTAAATCAGACAATAAAAGGGAAAAATTATGTAACTGTAGAAACCTAGAAGACTGCCCATTAGAAAATAAATGCTGCATTAAATCTGTGGTATACCAATGTACTATATCATCCACTGAGAGCCCTAGCACTAATAAGATATACATTGGGTCCACGAAGAATGATTTTAAAGATAGATGGAGGCAGCATAAGTGTTTTTTCAATAATATAAACAAAAGAAATCAGACTTCCCTATCTAAATATTTTTGGCATCTGAAGGAAACTAATAGGACACCTAGGGTTAAATGGAAAATTATTAACAAGGCCAGAACATGTAAAACTTGGGATGACCCATGCCCTTTATGCCTCCACGAGAAATTGCACATAATTAAGCTTCTAAATAATAATAAACACGAGTTAACGGTTTTTTTGTAGGCATCATCAGATTTTTGGTTTGAATTATTAGCTAAAAACTAGCATACAATATAATAACTTGTTTAATCCATAGCCCACTCATCAGATTCATGATTTGAATAATTAACTAAAAACATGCATACAATATAACACCCTTCATAATCCATAGCCGAAATAAATAGTTTAAATACCCTAAAAAAAGATAACCCTTTATGAAGTCGTCAAAAAACAAACGTTATGACAGTTTTTTTGTTTTTTGTTTTTTTTTTATATATGCACAAATCCCTTTCATAAAAAATAAAATAAAAAAATAAATAAATCTCCATAGACATGCAAACTAGACGAGGGTTAATACATCTTCCGTTTCAAATTTAGACACCCCCACCTTTCCATGATTTGACATCTACGAAAGTAACTCTATACTGATACTTATTATTAACACCCAACACCCGCCTATCCAACTCAAACAATTCGCCCTAGGTGTTACCATGGAAATTTTGATTTAAAACACGTAAATTTCAGAAACACGTTATTCCCAAAAAAATTTCGCTTGAAGATGGAACAGAGCTTATTTTAACTTATTTTAACTCAATTTAATTTAAATAATTATATTGAAGTTTTTGGCTCTTGTTTTGAAACATGGGACTTCTTATGTCGCGATTTGGAATCATATTTTTAAATAAATAATTATATTTATGCTCTACTTTTGTATCGAGCACTATTTTTTAAAAATAATAATTAAATACTAAGGGACTTCGGATTATTTACCTAACCAGTTCCTTCCTATTTTCTATATATTTTCACACACACACACACACACACACACATATATATATATATATATATATATATATATATAGTTCGTTGATGTGTATATACGTGTAAGCACATGCGCACACAAACACACGTGTGCACACTGTGGATTGATTTGTTTTTTTTTACGCTTTATCAACCGTTTTGTTTAAACCCAAAAAATGTTTTTAGGTTGAAAGAATTTTTTTTTTCGGGGGGGCGAGATAATAATGATTTATTACAAGTTCTGCTAATTAACCCATTGCTGGAGAAGAATAGAAGAAATGGCTTCATACCTTTCCAAAGGATATTTGCATGTCAGTGAATACAATGAAACCGACTTGAATTGGAACTCGACTCTCCGAATTTTAGTTCCGAACCGTTATCCATTGCACCACCCACACATCCAAGCTTACAGCTCCTGGTATTCCCAAGCGGTCACCCATCTAGGTACTGACCAGGCTCGACGTCTGCTTAACTTCGGTGATCGTACGAGAACCGCGGTTTCAACGTAATATGGCCGTAAGCCGTGAAGTTCGTGAACATTCAGCATGTATGCAGACATATGCACACACTTACATACAACTCTGATTTGACTCTACGATATTATATATATATATATATATATATATATATATATATATATATATATATATATATATATATATATATATATATATATATATATATATATATGACTTTTAAACGTTGAAAAGTTGAATTATAAGAATCATGACTTTCCTTCTTGACCTCCATTCCTTTCTTTACTTTGGTTATTTTTTTTTTCTTTCCCATTTTCCGTTAAGTTGTTTTTTTTGGGCCTGCTCTTCCCCTCATTCCTACTCAAAAGAGTTAAATTTCCTCAGACATCAGAGTGATCTGAATTAGTTTTGTTAACAATCGACTGATTGCTGCGTCATTAAGGTGTTCATTTTCCGTCGTTGCTTGTTAAGAAACGAGACAAAAAAAAAAAAAAAAGAGACAGATAAAAAAATAAATAGGTGCAACTGAAACTTTTTTCCATTTTTTTTTCTTCCTTGTCGTATTTAAAAAAACAAAAACATTTCAACTTCGTCCTTATTCTCATCATAGCAATCTTTTAAAAGAGCGGTGTCATGATCTCCATCTTCCTTTTCATCTGCATCTTCTTAGCATTCTCTTTTAATTTAATATTTATTATTATCGTCACTTTCTCTTCATCTTTTTTCCTGTCGCTTTCCTTCTTGTTTTCTTCTTCTTGATCATTTATTATTATTATTATTATCATTATTATTATTATTATAATTATTATTATTATTAAACTTTCTTTTCCTCAACATTTTTCGTTCTTTTTAGATGTCTTTACTTTCATGTAATAACTTTTCCTCACGTTTCTTTCTTTCAGTTATCTCCCCATAAATATTCCCATTTGGTTTTACTCTTATTTCTTGTTTGTCTTTCTATTCTTCCTCTTTCTTTAACTCAATAAAGGCGTGATTATTTTTCAAACAGAATTCTGAGAATATGAATTTTCCTGTAGGGATTTTAAAGCTTAGATCTCATGATGTTTTCAACTGAATTTTGATTTCAAAATTCTATATTGGTTTCAATATATTCTGATATCTGTAGCGCCACTGATGATTTGCAAGAGTTTGTCTCGCCTGAATATCTTTATATTTGAGAAACAATCTCTTTCGAGTCACCATTCCTTTCATGCCAGTTTTGAACAGTGCTGTAAAAATGCAACTACTTTCACTTTAAGAGATTCCTTTGCAGTAGAGATTTTTTCCAGAGTTCTTGAATTTTTTCTTTTTTTTTTTCTTCTTGGTCTTTTATTCTTGGTATTAATATATTTATTATTTTCAGCCTTGTTCATGTTTTCTAAATTGCAGATCGAAAAAGTTTCAGTTAGGGATCTGTTAAAATTTCGCTTCGATACTATTTTATGATTGAATTAGAAACAAGTAGGAAAAACTTTATTTTCATTTTACATGTTTCAATATATCGTTTCAGCTTCATTAGAATTTCAAGTTTTAGCAATTACTTTAGTCCAACCCACATTTGTTAACGTTTCCATGTCCTTTTCCATGTCTGAAATGTCTTCTCGTTATTTCTAATGTAGTCAGTACTTTCCACAAATTTTCAGTTAGGTATTGTCTTTGATTTGGTTGCTTTAAAACTTTGATAGTATTAGCTTTGAACCATATTTTCCTGGCGAGCTTGTGACATGTTTTGAGTCAGTGTTTTGTTGGAAGGGTTCAATGATCTTCTTATACAAGTATTTTGGCAGAATGAGGGTTCGGTAAAAAAGAAAATCTGAATTTTCGTTTCGTTTTTCATTATCACATCTATTTTAATTAGGCTACCAATCTCACGGAAGTGAGAAACATTTTCACTGAGACAGTACTGGCGTTATCAAGCTTGACTGTTGGAACAGTTTTCTTTGCGTTGAAAACTTAACCAACTCTTTTTTTCACTAGTAAAAGGCAAAGACTCTCTGCTCTAAGTTTAATTTTTGCCTCATCAGACTAAAAAATATTCATGGCCAAAAGCTTGAATCTTTACCCAAATCTCGTTTCGCAAAAGCTTGAATCTTTACCCAAATCTCGTTTCTCAAAAGCGAGACGAGGTTACATATACCTGGTTTGAAGCATTGTGCAAAATTCAGTGTTTACTGAAATACGGTGGAGTAATGGATAGCGGCTCGGATCGAGGAATTCCAGTCGAATCCATTACATTCCTTAACGTGCTAATACTCTTGGAATAGGTATGAATTCTCTTCTCTCCACAGCAATGGGCAAATAGCAGGACAGACCGAGTTCTATAGCCTTGGATGGCAACTGGTCTACCGCAGAAAGGAATGGCAACCTACTGCAGGAAAACATCTGCCTCGTCAGTCATGTATCGAAAAATACATGATCGTCTAATTGTGTATCATGCATGGCACATAACTGACTAATAGTGCGAGTTATTGTGATTATTATGATGAGTTTTTACGCCAAATATAGGGGCTCGCACTTATACATAGGCAATATTTTAGAAGAAGTTCAGTGACCGGTTGCACTATACAGGTAATTTTTTTTCTGGAGTGCTTAAAATTCATGCCCCCAAAATTCAGGGATTTCATTAAAGTCGGCTTATACAAGAGTATATGAGAAAGATCAAATGATTCTTGATGGTGATCGTTAGATTATTTTTGCCATATTTGAAGAATATTTTTTTACATCTCGTGATACATTAAATTACTCTCTTTTGATTCTGTGTGGCAATTCTTGAATTTCTTGTCTAACCAGTAGTTGAAATTGCCCTTTTTATGGCTTTGCAGCCTCTCACTTCCTTGTAGTCAATCACAATCTTTAACCTCCACGATACCATACTAACCTTGTTTACGTTCGTTTTAAAGGAAGTGAGGAACTCTTTAATGTAAGAGATTAAACTCGAATACCTACATGTACAGCTGCCATTTCCTTTGTGTAAGGTATGGGTATGAATAATTCTGAATATGCATTTCAAGGAAACTTGGACATTGCATAAAAGGGTTTGCAAGCTCGTCTTGCTTGGTCATTTACGAGTGAGCAGTGAGTTCGATTATCACCGAATGCTTCATACTTTCGGCCATTGTATCGCATCCAAGCTACGCTTAGTAAATCGTTATATAAGGCAAAACAAGAATAACAACAACAGTTATAATATAATAATAAATGTAAAATCTATTTTGTTGTTTCTTATCCTTTGTTTAATGAATACTTTGGTGAGGGAGGAGCTGATCTACCTTATAAAACATGGTAAGTATCACTCTCATTGGCGTCGGAAAGTTGAACATTTGTCGGCATTCTGTGTTCGCCTTTTCAACATGTAAGCTACGCTAAATTTTACACAATTTGAAATTACATCTTTTTTTTCTTTAATTTCATTTTAAGTCTCTTTGATTTTATTTAACTTTAATTTTTTTCATTTTATTTGTCTTTTACTCTTTTATTTTTGATTATCTATATTTTAAAACTTTGTTTTCTTTTTCATACTTCCAGTGGAACCTTCGATACTTTTTAACTCGGTATAATGTATCTTTGTCCATATATATATATATATATATATATATGTGTGTGTGTGTGTGTGTGTGTGTGTAAGGATAGTATCGAGTGATTTAAAAAAAAATCTCTCTCACTCTTTCCCCCGTTCGCATATGGACAGGTGGACTAATCCGACAAAGTTCTGCTTTTTGTCTGACTTTTTTCTTTAAGTAAAAATTTTAATTTTGGGTGCTTGGAAGTTGAGGAATTACCCCAAATCTAATCTATTTTGTTTTTTCTTTGTTTCTTTTCCTTTGTTTAATGAATTCTTTAGTGACCCTTCCGCTAAATTTGAATTTTTTTTGTGATAACCCTCAATGTAAAAGTATGTCCACCTCTGACATTTCATCTGGTACAGGTCACTACGACTTATGGTAAGTTAAATGTTATTTATATTCTGTACCATTTCCATGTCCTTATACTACCCGACTGAATGCAGTACTAGATGATGAACTTTTGAATCTTTGACATTTGAATATATCCCCACCCATCTCATGAGCAGAACGAGGTCTTTTGTCTTGGTCGACAGTCGTTCTAAAGTTGATAACTTGAATAAAATTACACCTTGGCGGTTGAGGATAAAACGCAAAATTACAAATCTCACTGATTACGAACAAATACACATGCCGGATTGGCCGTCATCCAGGTCAACAAACTCTTCCAACAGCAATAAAGGAAATGCTAAAACATAAACTGTAGTTAAAGACACAGAGAACAAGGTGATACGAAAAGCGTTGTAGGTTCTATCGCCAAAATAGAATATTCTAAACAGACCTTAAGAAATTTTACAGGGAAATTGGTAAAGCAGTTATACATGTCAAAAAGCCACCATCTATTGAAAAAGTGCAGAAATTTTGAAGCTGCTCAAAGGAATAATAACCCTAATGCAGAATGGATCCAACGAAGAACGAATGTTGGATAAACCTCTTCAAGAATGGGAAAATATAACAATGAATAGTGTTAGGCAAGCTCTAACGAAATCTCTAAAATGGAAATCCCCAGGAAATGACAAGGTACCCAATTTTTGGCTCTATAATCTGTCATCAATCCATAAAATCCTTGCACAAACTCTATCAATGCTTATTAATAATCCCAATTAAGTCCCATAATGGATCGCTGAAGTTATTACATATCTACTTCCAAAAATGGGTGAAACATATGATTCGAAAAATTACAGGTCAATAACATGTCTGTCCATCACGTATAAATTGATCACATCTATCCTAACGAACTTTACTTACTCTTTTCTCTAAGCAAACATTCCTCCATTGGAACAGTTCGATTCCTGTCGGAGGATACGTATTTTCTATGAAATTTCTAGGACATTCAGGCCGGTAAATGTAGTCAATACTGTTTATTATAAACAGAACATATACTTAGATATTTTTATCTATAAAAATAACGTATAAATAGAAAATATATTAAAATGATTGTCGGACTTAGTCCATTTCATAATATATGATGTCATTTGTTTTTC